TATATATATATATATATGTATATGTATATGTATATGTATATGTATATGTATATGTATATGTATATGTATATGTATATGTATATGTATATGTATATGTATATGTAATGTATATGTATATGTATATGTATATGTATATGTATATGTATATGTATATGTATGTATGTATGTATAGAGTTTATGATGGATATGTCTCCATTTTATATGACCTAACCCCTTTCCTAAGAGGTCTGTAGGGGGAGTGCATAAGCGCACCAACGTGCCTACCGTCCCTGTCCTATTGTTTTTTTTATTTTTCTTATATGTATCTATTTCATGTATTCATAACTATATTTATACTTATACCTGTTATCTTATAATTGCTTGACAAATAAACAAATAAATAAATAAATAAATAAATTTTATTGCTTGTATTACCTGATATAGTTTGTCCTCTTTGGTAACGTCCTTTAAACCTGGGGGCTTTTCTAAAAAATGGAAATATTTTAAATTTCATGTAGTATCAATATACAGGAGAAGTATTAATTTTTAAAAAGTAAAAGTTTATGTAGAGTTCATATAAAAAGAATAATTTAGTTTTCTACCTGTTCAATTTCTGCTGTATTACTGCAAAAAAGAAAGAAAATAAAAATTGTTTTTAAAAAATACAATTTATAGAAACTTTGAAGATAATAGGTCTTTATTTAACATACCTTTATGTGGCTGAAATAGTTTCCATAATGTAAAAATACATATTGATACTATCAAAAATAATGAAATTCCAGTTATTATTGCCAGAGGGGAGAAATAGTTCTCTTTCTGAGCTACCTGATCCAGTCCTATAACAGAGAAGTACAGAAATTAATCTTTGATTGTTAATTTTGAAATAATCCTAGTTAGGCATATAGTTTAAAATTCACATATATTTTTTTTTAAATTACACACACACACACACACACGGCATCTTCCCCCAATGTTAGACATTCAGATATTGCTGGATTACATGTTCTATCATTCTTAATATAAATAGACAATGTCAACTGTTGAAGGCAGTTATTCTCCAACAATGGGAATCCAAAGTCATATTAATTCTTTCTGTAGCCATCTCTCATAAGAATTGCTTACATTAAATATTGCCTTAAATGATACTTATCTCTGGGTTTCAAAAAAAGATATATTCTGCTCTACCCTTTCGCTGAGGTGACAAAGAACATGCATGCAAAGAAATATCTAATTGCTCCTTCTCCTTGAACAGGAAAACCACTTCATTTACCCAGCTTAAGTATTTGAAATTGTTATTTTCAGAAAATTCTCTGTTCTCATTTTTGCAGATAAAAGTGGTAAGGGTAATTTATTGAATCATTTCTTAACAGCATTTGTTGTACTCACAGGTGGCCATTAGGGGATGCTCACACTTCATCCCTACTTCTAACAGCTTGGAGAACATAAAAAAAAAATCTCTTTTAAAATCTATAGGAATGAAAAACAAGCACTGGAACATTATTAAAAAATTAGCTGTAGCCTAAATAGGCAGCCATAGTTTGACTATGAAGAAAATAGTCTTATCACTCAGTAGGCTTCACACTTAATCTGATTGTATCATAATATGGGTTGCTTTTTCTCTGATAAGGTATATGTCTCCCTAATATGAAATGTTTGATCTCAAGTCAGTACAAAAATCCCTGATTGGCTGGAGATTTATGGAATTGAAGTCCATACATCTTAAAGTTGCTAAGGTTAAGAAATATTGAAGTAGACTACTATTTAGGAAAACTGCAATAGCAGACAGAGAGGAGTTAAGGTTAACACTATTAATGTATGAGTATATTGGGTTGCTGAAGAACTTATTCACCATGTTGTGACATTGTTTATAAAATTTGCTGCTTTTATTCCTGACAAGATAACTAGGTTTGTTCCTTGCCATTCTGGCCAGCTCCATACAGCATCATAAACCAAACCCAATATATAAGTTACCTCCAGAATGCATACTGCCTTGTCAGTTTACTGCTGCCATCTCCTCTTGCAGGATGTCTTTTTTTAGACTTACCCTCTTTAGACTTTAGAGGCAAACAGAAAAATACAACAAAAATAGCACAACAGGAAAAAGGAGCCAGAAGGAAAAAAAAATATGGTTCCCGCATCAAAAAGGAAATTGAAATTCAGAGAAGAAGTCAGAGATTTCTACTAATAATTGTTGAGATTATTGCAGCCCAGATATTATTTCCTTAGCAATGTTAAGGGCATGAGATATGAAACTATGTATTTCTATTGCTGGGCTTTTGAAGGAACAAAGTAAAATAAAAACAAAAATCCACAGTAGTTTATTCCCAAAATAAATGTTTCAATAATTGTAAAGTAATTGCAACTTCTTCACTGATCACTGGAGATAAATGGCAGTAAATAGGAAGGATTTTAAACTTTAGACTATCCTGATAAGAATTTTAATTCAAGTGTGGGAGAGCAAAATAGAATTCATCAGAGGTTATAATGTACTTTAGTTCCAGCAACAGCTCAGTTTGCTGGACCCAAAAGCATTTTTAAATGTCCCATTTGTTGTAAATGTATCATTAGATACAATAGTTGTATCCATATAAAACTGGATACAGTTTAACACATCACTAGGGATGAGTCATTGAATTGCATTATACTTGATTTGGTTCTGTTGCTGTTCTGTTCACATAGCACATTAAGTATAATTTACTAATTACATAAAATTGGCTTTACATAAACTGTGGCTTATCTTTCAAAGAAACCAATGAAATATTTATAGTTCTTCAACCTCTTCTACTTTATTTATGCAAGAGAACTGCAGCTGGGTTTTGGCTATCTTTTGTGCAAAGTGCCTCTTGTGGTTCGTTGTTTAGTGGAATACATCAATGCATTCAGTTTGTTAATAAGTCACATTTAAGTAAAGCTTAGTTTTAGCATGAATCAGGTATGTTCATTAAATTAAGATGCCTTAAAATAATCAAGGTTTCATGGCTGAAAGGAATTTCCAAATCAGATTTTCTAATCCAGTATTCATTACTATTGTGATTTATGAATCATAGCTTAGCATCATGTTGTGAACCTTGCCACTTATGGTTTATTAAATAAACTATGGTTGTGCACATGAGCCTGGTAGATTTAGTTTAAGGTCTGAATAACATTAAAAATTAAATATAAAAAATATTGCTTAAAGAGGGAAAGAAAACATAGCTGTTGTAGCAGCTGAGTAATCATATTCTGCTGTCTTGCTGATGATCTGGTTTTCCTGGAGAAGAATAGATATATCTGGTAAAACAACATGGTGAAAGTGCATTCATAATAGAGCAACTGATTTTTGTGTGTGCTTTTACTTCCAAGAGTTAATTTATGGTGCCTCTTATGTACATATTTTCTTTCATGGTGAACAATTTGCCTGGTGCCAGAATAAATTATATTCATCTCCTAAAATGCCTATCTTTAGTTAAATATATTTAATCCCCTAATTTAGTAAATGTAAATATGAAAGAGATAAGATGTAGCCATGGTTTCACAAATTTGCTTATTTCACTGATAAGGCATCTGTGTGCTGGAGATAAAGTCCAGTGCCTTCAGTTTTGGTTTTGCTAATCAAGTTTAGAAACTTCTCACAATTCTACAGAAGCTTCCAAAGTGAATATGCAATTTGTTCAGAGATATTATTTTCGCACTAATTGAATAGGATTGAGAGGAAAAACATTTAGTAGAGGTGCCAGATTAGCAAAAATAATTAATCTATTTGAAAGAAATATAATAATTTATCACTTCAGGTGTCACCAGGCAAGTGTTTAATTCATATCTCTTGACACATTTTTTTATACTTCCCATCCTGCTTTATGGCATGCAGGAAAAAAAATGTACTGATCCCTTACTCTTTATAAATAAGTGTCAGTCTGGAGAGGGGAAAGCTTCAGAGAGAGAAGTGATGCTCAGTTCACTTTTTATCTGGTACTGAGAAGGAGCAAGTAGTCAGAGACAGTTGTTTTCAAAGGGACAAGATACTGATCATACTGAACCCCAAACTGGAGGATAACCTCACTCAGCAGTTCCAGATATTGAAAAAGAGGAGAGTGCCCTCTAGAGTGAAGCCACTCTTAAGCAACACCAAGTAGAAATTCCTGACTGATGTTACTGACTTCTTTTTTGAATAGAGGAGGAAGAATGCAACGAAGAATCAGCTAGGTTTGACTGACTTGTTATTAACTGGTTAGGAAGTTTTGGTCAAGGAAGTGGAACTAGAAAAACTAAATAGAAGGGTCTCAGCCTTCCATCCTTCTGAGGTGGGTAAAATGAGGACCCAAATTGTTGAGGGCAATAATGCTGACTTTGTAAACCGCTTAGAGAGGGCTGTAAAGCACTATAAAGTGGTATATAATTCTAAGTGTTATTGCTATTGCTATAAGTAATCATATTAAATTGGAGCTTTTGATTAGAAGACATACTAAACTGAAGTTAGTTCAATAAATGCCAAAAAGGGATGTTTTAAATTCAGAGCAGTTAAAACAAGGAATGCACAGTAAAAAGAAGCTATGGGAAAATGATCTCATGAGAGTACAAATCCCTGAAAGTGAGGGAGCACATTGGAGAACAGATTCCAAGCATAAATTATTTTTTAAAATTCTATCAGTGTGAAGGAATTTGACAGTGAGATTGGAGAGATGATGGGCTTTCCTTCACTGATTTTGTTCAAAGGCTAGATAATCTTCTGCTGAAGGGTTATTTTTTAATAATAGTACCTGCATTGGGCAAGGGGTTGGAGTTAATGGGCTAAACAGGGCCTTTCAACTTTATGAATCTATGAGGAGGAAACAGCTGTCCTGGACCGAACAACAAGATATGACACTTAAATATGAGCCAGCAGTGTGTTGCAAGTGCCAAAAAAGCCAGAGGGATAGAATCAAGATCACACAAAATGTTAATATCACTTTATAATGCCTTTATATAAACACACTTGGAATACTAAAACCAGTTTTGGTATAAAAAAGATGTTGAGATGCTAGAAAGAGTGCAGAAAAGAGCAACAAAAATGATAAGGGGATTGGACACTAAAACATATGAACAGTTACAGGATTGGATATCTAGTTTAATTAAAAGAAGGACTAGGGGTGACATGATAGCAGTGTACCAATATCTAAGGGACTCCTATTCTCCAAAACACTAGAAGGCAAGACAAGAAACATTGGATGGAAACTAATCAAGGACAGAAGCAACCTAGAAATAAGGAGACATTTCCTGATAGTTAGAACAATTTATCAGTGGCACAAACTGCCTCCAGAAGTTGTGAATGCTGCAACACTGGAAGTTTTAAGAAGAGCTTGCACAATCATTTGACTGAAATGGTATAGGGTTTCCTGCTTGAGCAAAGATCCCTTCCAACTCTTTACATACCTTTACATACCTGTATTTTCTGTATTACATACCTCTTTACCCCATTACATACCTGTATTTTCTATTTTTGAACACCTGAATCTATTAAAGAGTTCAAAATATGAGATAATAGCAGATTCCCCTTTACTATCCTTCTTTTCTCTACAAGAATAACCCAGTGAGGCGAGTTAGGCTAAAACTGATTCATCCAAGGTCACCCAGCTGGTTTTCATGGCAAAGGTTGGACTTGAACTCATGGTCTCTTGCTTTCTAGCCCAATGCCTTAACCACTAGACCAAATATACAGTATACAGAAAAATGGAGCAGTTTATAACAGCACCTTCTGTATTCCTCTCAATTCCTGTTAAGAGCATTTAAATTTGAGGGATAACAGATATGAAAGAATAGGGGCATAATTTGTTCCTTTGAGTGTATAAACAGGGTTAATGATTCAATATTTTTTCCTAATATAGCCCAGTTTGTATATGTATGCTTTTGGGTCAGTGTGGATTTCTGGTGACTGCCAAGACAAATACTGCAATTTTCTTGGAAAGATTTAAGAAATGTCCTAACCCTGCCTTCTTCTTAAAGTTGATAGAAAGCGGCTGGCCCAAGGTCTCCCAGCTAACGTGGTGCCTAGGGCAGGACTAGAATTCACAGTCTCCCAATTTGTAGCTCAGTGCCTTAGGTACCACAGGTAATCCTTGATTTACATCCATTCCTTTAACCACCATTCAAAGTTACAACAGTGCTGGAAAAAGTGACTTATGATTGGTCCTCACACTTATGATCATTGCACGTCCTTGCAACCACATAATCAAAATTTGGTCATTTGGCAACAAGCATGTATTTAAAATGATTGCAATGTTCTAATCACCATTTGCGACCTTCCCAACAAGCTTCAAACAAGAACAGCCAATAAAAGCCAAATTCACTTAATGACCATGGCTAGAAGATTGTTAAACTTGGGTCTAATTTAGTTAACAATTGTATTGCAATGGAAGTTGCAATTCCAAGTGTGGTCATATGTAAAAGACTACCTTTACCTCAACTGGCTTCCTTTCTAGCCCAATTACCAGTACTTGTTTCTCTTATATCAACTCCAGTCTCAGTCTCAGTCTCAATCTTTCTCTCCCTCCTTCCCTCTCTGCAATACCTAATCAAGTCTATAACTGATTCCTATATACACTGATTCAGATAATTTTACAGTATCTACATTTATTACTGACTGGAAGCCCCTAACAGATGAATTGCATAAAACAGAAAAGTGAACATTTGATTAATGATTTTGGTGACTAGGCAGGATAGATTATAGAAAGAAGCATGATGAGAAAGAGAAGATTGGAAGTCATTTCTTTGTATCTCTTTTCGTTTTCTATTTTTCTTTGACCTTTTCTTTCTTTCTTGCACTTCTTAGCTTTGTCTTTGTTTTTTTTTCCTTCCTTGCTTTATGCTAGTTTGAATTAATTTTTTATCTTTCTTTTTATAATGTTTAATAAAATTACTTTAAAAAGACATAGTCTAGGTATTTTCTGCATAGATGCACAAATTACTGTTGAAGTATCCTCGATACTACAAAATGCCAATTATTTATGACTGATCTGTTTCTGGCATCTCAGGTTTCACAATGCAAAATAAACAACTTCTTATAAGTTTGCTAATATTGACAACAGAAAAATCAATCATGTAGTTAGCCATAATTTGTAAACATTTAAAGGTCATCAGTTAGAAGAATCACATTCACTATTTCAGGTTTTTTTTTTTAGGTTAAAACTTTGAGCAGAATAGATCAATTTCACTTAAAATAGAAGAGTATTTTCTAAGGTAAAAGGGGATTTTAAACTGAAATATTTAGGGTGGGTTGGGTTTTTTGTTTTTTGCTTTTTCTAAAATACATTTTGGTCACATTTTCCCTTTACACTGACGAGAAAAAAAAAAGGAATAATGCTAGAAATTTGAACTGTCATGCAAAAGATGTTTGACATTAGATTAAGAATGATGTGTGGTTCAGTTTTCCTCAAGTTACATAATCCTTGTTTTTTTAAAAATAAAGTTGATGTCAACAAAAACAAAGCTATGTCAGCTGTTCATAGTCTTTAATAAAGTCAGCTTTTCTTATAAGAAGACCTTGCTTACGAATAAAGGACAATATTTGTATCTCAGGGCTGAAATGAGAGGTCCTTGATGCTTTCTGAACTTGGTTGTTTTCTTGCAAGAAAGAATGAGAGCACCGAAAAAGACCACCCAATTACCACCCAAGGCTTCCTTGCCAGTTAAATCCGGGTTCCATCTTTTTCCTGGGTTTTTCATACCACAGAAAATACTGGTTCCTCTATCTCCAATCACATAGCAAAATAATATCCCATGTGTAATAACTAACAATATGCTTCCTTTTCTGACAAGTCAGTCTGCCTAATGATAAAGACTCATGATTAAAAATGCTAAATGTTCTATCAATGCCAAGCTTATTTTTGGTCACTTCATTTTTACTCTGAGATACCAATTTGTCTGTCTGTATATACTTCTTCAACGTGATATTGGTTTCGCTATACAGTTCTGTTATTCCTTTAACTTGTTTGAAATAAAATTTTCATGCACTATTACACTAAATCCCTGTATATAATAGGCAGCTGCTATTCACAAATGGCACGGAGCTTTGTGATGCAGGACACAAATAAGCTTGGGAAATGTGCTGTAAGGCATCATGCTAATTAACAGAATAACTTCAGGATTGGAATTTTACTATCAAAAGGACTAAAGACAGACTAAAGGTTGCTTCTGCGATGGTATGAGATCAGATGAACATAAGGACCTTCCCCTTAAAAAATAGTTAACAGGGTGTGTTTATGCCACAGTAGGTGGGATAAGATGATGAACCTCTATCATAATTCTACCAAAGTTTACTGATGTATTAATTGAACAGACTGAGAGAAGGAAAAGGAAGGCTGTATGTTCTGTCTATTTAATTTTGTGTGTGTGTGTGTGTGTGTGTGTGTGTGTGTGTGTGTGTTGTTATGGGGGGGGAGACAATACAATCTGTAGATGCCCTAGGTATCTATTTCCAAAGCCTTGGATGGGGCCATTAGATATTTTTTAAAAGTGTCACAAAATTGCAATCATTTTAATAAATAATAGTTAGAAACAATCATATCAATTGTATTTCATAAATATGATTTAAAATGAAATCAAATGCTTTTTAGGGAGGGACCTAGTCTATTTCTTTCTTTTAGATGCCGTTGCCTTTAGATAAGCCTAGAGATGAAGGGTAGGGAATCTCTGACTATTTAGAAATGACCATTTTTAATTATTGGCAACACTGAGACTGACAGCTGTAGATATCGAAGAATGGAGATTTGCAGGTTTTGAACTACTCTATATAATAATGTATCATAAAGCAATATACAATTGTTTTATCATTGCTGATCCATTTTGAACTTTTGAAATACAAATGGATAAATCCTAAATCTTGATATGCTGGCACAAACATCATCAAATAATTACATTATACAGTGTGATGCTAAAGGGGAATATGCAAACATACTATAACATAAAAATAATAATATTGAGATGTGGGACATGCAAGAAATATGTTTGTTAACCTCTGTTTACTGTTCATTCCTAGGAAAATGTCTTAACACATCCAAGAGTAAGAAATGTCTTAAATGACAGTAACTTTTACATACGCACTGAAAAGAGAATTTGAACACTCCACATATAACAATATGTATCCTGTGGGATCATGTAGGATCAGGATGTTTCTTTGCAGATGCAATTCATTTCATTCCCCAAATTGATATTCTCTGTGCTTTATATCTACTGCATAACATTCATTCATTCATTCATTCATTCATTCATTCATTCATTCATTCTTACCTTTTGGTATTACTATCACCAGAGTGTGGGTTTCAACGTGGGTTTCAGTCATGTTGTTGTAAGCAGTGCATATATATTCTGTTTTCTGTGTCACCTTCTCAGATGCAATTTCCAGAAATCTTCCATATTGTACTGGATATATGGAGTTGTTTGCTTTCAGGATCCATGAATAAATGTTTGGTGGATTGGAATCTGCTGAGCAGTACAGCTGAACAGCATCACCTTTATCAAGTGTAAACACTTTTCCTACTTTCTGGCCTTTAGCAGTATTTATGGTAAGTCCATAGGGTCCATCTTGGTAAACATCACAGTGACACAGAGAGAAAGAAAATAGATTCAACAGATGGGACATGCATATATTCTGCTTAATCCATTGCAACATACTTCCACTAACTGCTTGATAAGGATAACTTCAACCCATCCCCAGCCTCCTGCAAAGAAAACCTCTGCCTGTCTTTTCTTGTCCATTACAAAACTGGGACTCTTGGATGAAGGAATGCACACATTCAGATTCAGAACACCATTGAAATATAGAAAGAAAAGGCATACACAATGTTTTATCTTGCAATTCACTTTCAAGGAGCTCTGGGTAGCTTACAACATTATAAAGCAAAATTTAAAAATATTAAACATTGAAATTAACAAAACTCGAGTAAAGCAGGAACCACCGTATCAATGAGGTGGAGGTGAGATCTTCTTAGTCTACTAACCATCTGGCAGGTACTACTAGCATCATGGCATCTTTCCTTTGCTGTTTGATTAATGTCAGTTTCAGCCACTAGACCTAGAAACCTATGGTTGTTGTTGATATAAGCCTTCGTTTGTTGATAATACTGTGTATACCTCTGTCTAAGGTTCCTAAAAAGTATTCTTCACCTGATCACTGAGAACTTTGAGAGAAGGCTATGCTTGGGCATATTGAATAGGAAAAGCCATGGTTTGCCTAAACATGGTTTGTTCAGTTGTTTGGATTTCATATAGCACTTTGACACAAGCTTTCCTCAATGTGATATTCTCCCTCTATCACAATTTCTAGAATTCTCAGGAAGTCTGTTTAACAAAGTATTTGAGGAGTACTACTTCCGGCATATAGAGAAGGTGCCAGATGGGTAAGTTTACAAATCACAGTTTGGACTTACAAAACTACAAGCAAGTGTAATTTAATGTTTATGAGAACCATTACCTAATACAAGCAAGCATATGTATGAGATTACATATGCTCAGGAAACCAGAGAATGGTTGACTAAAGTTGTATTATTTCCATTTTGTGGCAAACTAGAGTTTATTTTAACTAAGGTTTTCTTAGGAAGCCATAGACTGGGTCCACACTACACACTTCACTTTTTAAAAATCAAGTTTACTAAAAAATACAATTCTTTAGATTTATACTAAATTCCAATTTACAAACTGCAAAATTTGATTTTATACACTGTGCTAACATAAAATTAAACAAACCATGTCATTGCTTAGCAGAGAATTAGGGACATGCAGAACTAGCAAAATCAGGAAGCTACGAGACTTATAAATGCTGGTACAAATATGGAGGAAGTGCTATAAATACATATTGAAAATCATTAGTTTGAGAATAGCATGCAATAAATGATATTGCCTCAGGAACAGCTTGAAGGAAGTAGTGGAGTAGGATTTGTTCTACCATGTTGTGTGCTGTTAAAAAAAATTACTTCTCCTTTTCTCATTTTTTGTATTTTTCCAATTTCTGTTCTTTATTATGACTCTCTGGCACTGCTAAGGAACATGAAGTATAGTGCAGTTTGCTCATTGCTTTTGATGTGAATTAGCTTTGATTGACCAGTTTGCAATAGGAATATAGTAACAAAACAAAATTATACTCTCTCCTGATTGCTACTGCCGACCTTTCTGCTTCCTTTTCTTAGGATTATCTTTGGCCACTTTATATCTAACATCTGTCATAACAAAAGGATATTTATTCTCTTATGAAGTATTGTGACTTTATGGTTTCCATCGCTGCAGTTTCACATTGTGATAAGGGGTGTAATTCTACATCAATAAAACAAAGCATGATAAGACAGTATCTGTGGCTCACATAATGATGCCCATGTTCACAGGCTTTCATGGATGCATTTTGGACTGTCTTTACATTTCTAGATATGAGACTTGAAATAATAAGTGTTCCATTAAAGCATTCTATGTAGGATTTTGATATTGGTCACTCCTATAATTTTGGGAAATTTATTCTTGAATATGGGATCAACTGAACTGTGTGGGAATTTAATGCACTAGATAATTTATCATATTTCTACCTAAAGAATCCAAAGCTCTGTAAAACCTCAAGTCCCATGGTTGGCTGCTCTAATTGGCACAAACTAGGATTTTGTGCTGATAGTGATCCAATTATGCAGATTGGGTGAGTTTAATCAAATGTAAATTCCCATAATGCTCCCTGATAGTCCTTGGTCAGGGATACCACCGTAGTTTAAAATAAAATTGTTATTAAATCCATTTACTTGTTACTACATGTATTGCCAACTCAAAATACTTAGATTGGAGTACTGACACAAAATATTAGAACCCTCTATAAGTTGTGGGTTCTGTTAAGGAACTGGAGCCTTGATGTCTCCCTAAGGATGTCATTTTCTAGATCTGATACTGGGGCAATATAGAATCACTATCTTATTCTGCCTATAAAAGTAGCTAGTAACTTGCTCAAACATGTATACTTAATTCTCTGTCCCCCTTTCCTGAGTGTGTTGAAGAGCTTTTGGTGGTGAAGATTACCATAAATACAACTGTGTACAAATGGGATAGTGGAAGAAAAAATACAATTGAAAAGATGACAACCATTACTCATTTTGTTCTGCACTGATGTATTTCAATATAAATCAGGTGTTTAATAAACTTGTTTCACCATTTTTATTTTTATACAAATAAAAAATGAACTGTGGCAGGATTTCCACTACTGGCTTTTGTCTTCTGGAATCATCCACTATTTTTTATACCTGTGGCAGCAGAAATGCTGCATGATGGCAAGCCTTGTATTTCTGTGATGCTCCCTAGAAGCTGGAAGTCACTAGGATTTAATGGTATGTGAATGGTCCTCGTGGAAAATTCTTTTATTAGTAAAGTAAAATTAATATTTTACATGTTTAAATAAAATACATTGAGGTTTTAAGACTATTTGTAACTAAAGATCTCTAGTAGGCCAGTACCTTTTTTTCGATATTCTGAGCAAAGGAGACCTTTTGCCACAGTAAAATCTATTTACTAAATGACTTGTAAAACAATAAATCATAACTTCTTAGCAACAATTTACTTCTCACTAGAACATAAGCAAATGTATCTGTCACCAGGAAACTGTAATCCATCTTGTTTTTGAACAGATGGTATTTATTGTGAGTGACCTTTACTATTACCCTAATTCCCCAGGCAGCAATGGCATATGGTCTTTGTAGCTTGTAGAGCTATTACTTGGTTGTTATTGAGAAAATTGACAGCCAATAGACAGAATTTTAAAATACCACTTACAAGTGTATTTTAATTATGTAACTTGAAAGCAATATTTGATGGAAAAAGTCATGGTGGATATTGGGCTTCTCTGTTTTTTTGGGGGGGGGGGGCGGGGCCATGATGGCTTACAAGTTCTTAAAGTTTCATGCAAATCCTCTTTGGTAAAAAGAAACAAGATTGTAATATTTGTTTAAATATGAACAAGGAATCAATCCACAGAATATCCCGTACCCTAATGTTTGTAAGCTACCTAGTCACCTCTAGATGAGATGGGGGCACACCAATCAAACAAATGAACATACCACTGCAATATTATATACAAATTAGCTTGTTATGGCTTAATTAATTTTATTTTAAAGAAAGCCTAGTTTACACAATCAGTTTACTCTTGTTTGTCTTGAGGCAGATGATAATCTTAACTAATGTTTAATGAGCCCAGCCAGTCCATAAGTCTATTCAACGAATCATGGTTTAGGTAAGCAATGGGTAAACCTGATACATAAAATCAGCTATCGTGAATTAAATTCTGTATTAATGTTACTTAGATTTATAATATTAGTTCTCAGCTGTATTGAGAAATAACCTCTATTCGCGTTGATTAATGTTTGTAGCAGTAATGTAGCATTCTAGCCATTTCACTAGATGGGACAACTCAACCAGCCTTTCAGGGAATTTATTTATTTATTTATTTATTTATTTATTTATTTATTATTTATTTATTTATTTATTTATTTATTTATTTATTTATTTATCATTCTTTCTTTCTTTCATTCATTCATTTATTCATTCATTCTCTGCCTTCATTATTTTTACAAATAATTCAAGGTGGCAACCATATCCAACACAACTTCCTCCTATTTTCCCTACGGCAACAAACTTTTGGAGTTAGTGAGACTGACTGGCATAAGGTCCCCCACCTGGCTTTTATAGCTAAAGTGGACTTGAACTCATGGTCTTCTACTCCTAGCCTGCTGACTTAATCATTAGAACAAACTGATCTCTTTTAATTTGTGATTGTTCAAATCTCTCTCTCTCCCTCTCCCTCTCTGTAGAATGAGCTTCCCAGTCTGGTAAGAATATTAAGCGTTTTGCAAGCTATTATGCTAATATATCTGAAAGAACAAGGCATCCTGAATAAAAGTCTGTACTATATATATATATAAAAAGTGAATTGCCTACATTAGTGTCCAGATAAGCATGTAATGTGCATGTGATTTTCTGAAGGCTAGTACCTTTAGCACTGAAATGGAATGGAAACACATCTATGTATGTTGTTCTGCATTACAAGGTGCTGGAGATGCCCAAGGTGTGACATTCACATTTATATTTGCGGTAGTATATTTAATCTTACCAGTGCTAAATAATAATTCATACTTTACTGTATACTCTCTCTACATCAAGCTATTTGCCACAGTAAAATGACAAGGCAAGACGGTCATGCTGCCTAATTCTCATAATATTCAAATACATTTGTTTATGGAATTGTTATACAGGTAGTCCTCAATTTACAACAATTCATTTAGTGACTATTTGAAGTTAAATGGCACTGAAAAAAAGTGATTTATAACCATTTTTCACACTAACAACCATTGCAACATCTCCATGGTCAAAATTCAGATGCTTGGCAATTGACTCATATTTATTATGGTTGCAGTGTCCTGGAGTCTTGTGATGACTTTTGATGACCTTCTGACAAGCAAAGTCAAAGGGAAGCTGGATTCACTTAACAACCTTGTTACTAACTTAAGAACTCCAATGATTCATTTAACAATTGTGGCAAGAAAAGTCATAAAATGGGGCAAAACTTACTTAATAACTCTCTCACTTAGCAACAAAAATTTTGGGCTTAATTGTGGTCATTAAGCAAAGGATTATTTGTGGTTTTTATTCATTACTTCCTTCATGAATTCACAGTAGAATGACAGCTTTATCTCTAACTACCTTAGAATAAGACTGAACTCAGTGGAAAATCTATTGTTCGGGCTTGAACAGTGGAGTTCAGAGAGCCCTCTCTGAGCTAGTTGGTTGCTTGCAGACATTTCATTTACCCAACTAGGTAACATCATCAGTGCAAGTAAGTGAGGACTGCCTCCTTGGTGGTTCTGAATTAGAGATACGGATTTTAATCTGGGAACAATATGTGGCTTATCTGGAAATTACGGAGCAGTAGGTCCATCAGGTTTAACCAGCATGGGCAACCAAAGAAGGAGCAAATGATATCACAATCATAATATCATTGTGCAAATTATATAAATCACATTACATGATAAGGTATTGCAAGCTAACCGGGTAACTTGATAGTGAGATGGGAAATATATAAATCTAATAAATAAAATATACACTCTGTCATTATGGCTTCTGTTGAAAGCTACGCTAGTTAGCATGCCCAATACCAAAGACGAATTTAGGTCCAGCAATTCATATAGCTAACAGAAGGAAGAGAATGAGAAACAGTAAGAAAACAAATGGGCATACTCCATTAAATTGATTGGGTTTATCTATCTTCAAGTGAAACTTCCCTATTTGAACTCATATCTATTCTATGCATTACAGCTTTTTAACATTTGTTTTTTAAAAAAACTTTCCTAATTTCCTTTCCATCTTCTCTATTTGACTAAATTCCATTTACTTTTTATCATGTTGCTTTAATGGAATATGCTTTAGAGTCAACAAAAACGTTGGAAGCATTTGGAGGAGGAGATCAAGTGAACTGGTTGGCTTACAGCTTTGTAAAGATATTTTTCTAAGCCTTTTTTCCTACTGGTCAAATCCCATCTGCCTCCAACATACTGCATGGAGCTAATGCATGTAACCAATCTGGATTATTTTTATTATACACTTCTTAATGCTTACTGTCTTAAATATTTTGTGCTACTGTTTTATGTTGCATTTTATATTGCAATTTATACAAATATTTTTCTAAAACAAACCATATTGAAATGATCTGAATAAGATGACATAAAGTTTCAAACTAATAGGCTAATGAGCAATTGCCATAGATCATGATATCATTTTCAATTGTATATTGTTTCACAGGTGTCAGCTTAAGTAAATATATCCAGTGTCCTATATTGATTTTGCACCTAAATTAAGAATGTTAATGATATGGACTTTACGGTTTAATTGTTCTTGCTTGTCTAGACCTGACTAGGGATTTGGATTTGGATTTTTTTTCTCTAACATTCCACCATGAAGCAAAACAGGAACTTCTTCTGAAAAATTAAACATAATGGCAGTGAGAGGCCTAAAAGTGAGCCTTAAGAGAGGAGGGGAAAATACAGTGTTGGAAATTTCTATCTCCCCTCTTTCTTTTCCCAGCCTTCATGGGTGGATTTCTCCTATCATCAGGAACAGCCAAAGAAGTATGATAATTGGATAAGAGACATTTTATGACTTTCCAGCTCTTTATCAGATACTTAAGTTGAAAAAGAATTTTCTGTTCTTGTGGTAATCTTCACTAAAATTTATAATATTTATAATACATTTTTGCTGGAAAGGCTTTAGGAGTCTAACAGCTTTGTACAACAAGGTTTCCAAGAACAGGTTTTGATTTTTCTGTCCATTTCAGCAGTGCTCTGACATGCATACTGAAGACGGAGACTATGGTTTAAGTAAAAGTTAATAAGTACTCCATTTTAATTCCATATACAATCATAGAATTCAAAGTGGAATACACAGTATTCAAATTGTCTATCTTCCAGGCATTGGCCAATTCTAAATGTTGGATATATAGAAATTTAACTAGGTTAACTTTGGGATCCTAGACTCTCAATTCACAGTACCAACATAAAGAAAATGCTGAAAAATCTTCCATCCCCTGAAAAACAACAACACCTTGCATAACTCATAAACATAATACAGTAATTTAAAGGACCTACGTTAGAGTTCAGGAAAATGTTGAATCATTTTTTTCTTCGTTTTTTTTTACCATGACTATATACACTATCACAAATGACAGTGTAACGAGTTCCTCTTTCAAATCAACAAATACCTACTATTACTGTAGAATGGAATGTCTGCAGGCATTTCATTTTTCTTTCTTTCTTTCCTTCCTTCCTTCTTTCCTTCCTTCCACCCACCCACCCACCATCTACTTACAATATATTGTTGGCATGATCATATCACTCATCATGGCACCGATAGGGTTGGTTACTAAACAGCTGTAGTTCCCAATAGCTTCTTTAAGAACGGGGGCAATGGAAAGTGTATCTTTCTTTATAATCATGGAGCCATTGCTGCTATCTTCAATTGGATTTTCATTTTTCATCCATTGATAAACCACCCTTGTGCCTTCTTCCACCATACATTTCAAAGTGATGTTTCCTTTTTTTTCTACAACTCCAGATGAGGGTTCCATATATATGACAGGCTTGGTGAGAGGCACTGCAATGGAAACGACATTGGAAGTTATGATGATGTCATTTCTGTTATTTACATACAGGGGTCTTCAAACTTGACAGCTTTAAGACTTGTGGACTTCAACTCCCAGAATTCTTCCTCCAGTCATGTTAGCTCAGGAATTCTGGGACTTGAGGTCCATAAGTTTTAAACCTGCCAGGTTTGAAGACCCTTGAGTCATACAGCATCCGTACAGCCTACATTTGTGCTAATAGAAGAGGGTGAGAACTGTCACTGGTTGCATTTGGGACCTCTGCAAGAGGTGGGCCCTCAACCCAAAAACTTTCTTAAAAAAACAAATTGTCTTTTTAATCCCAAATGTATTCCACAAAGATGATCAGCTTTGTTAAATATTCAGTCAAATATTCTGAAACATCCTGATGTGTGCAATAGACAACAGTATGTCATACAACTGTGAATATCACCTTATGAAATGTATTTTAATTTTTAAGAATTTGCAGAATATATGCTAAGCTTGTGCCTTTCCTGCAATAATGCTGGATTTTGATTATTCCCCCATTAGATTTTTCTCTCAAAGTCTTTTTTTTGGTTCATCAGGCATCCTCAAATAACTCAGAGTTATGACCAGGGGTGGGATTCAAATTTTTAACAACCAATTCTGTGGGCATGGCTTAGGTGGTGTGTGTGGCTTGGTGGTCATGTGACTGGGTGGACATGGCTTGGTGGTCATGTTATTGGCTGGGTGTGGCCAACTCAATATCACTCACATCGAGGCACGCATCTCCTCCCCTGACCTCTCATGACTGTGGGGATGCTGCAACAGTCGTAAGTGTGAAAAATGGTCATAAGTCACTTTTTTCAGTGCCATTGTAACTTTGAATGGTCACTCCACACAAGCAAAGTACCAGCAAAGGAGGGGGGAAAAAACTCCAGAGAGGTTCCTGAGACAGGAAGTCTAGTCCTGCCAAGAATGTAATAACGGTTAATGGAGAGGAAGTTTCTGTAAGCAACACCAGAATGTTTCCTTCCTGCCTTCCTTGCAGGATTAGGCCAGTAATTTCTTCTAACAACCGGTTCTCCAAACTGCTTAGAATGTTAACAACCTGTTCTAGCGAACAGGTGTGAACTGGTAGAATCCTACCCCTGGTTATGACGAGATTCTTCTCAATGTCCAATTTTCTGCATAGCTGCACTTTATGGTGTAAAAAGATGGTAAACTTTTATCCCTTTCATCCCATATCATAGGAGCAGGTATAAAGATGCTAGCACGAGGTTGGGTTCAGGCAAGAGTGAAGAAACCTCCCCCAACCCACCAAGGGTCAATTCAGTGACCAATCAGGATTATTGATGTGGCCACATGACATGGACTACATTTCCCAGGATACCTTAACTACATTTACCCTGATGCATTCCCTTAAGGGGACAGCTCCCAATTACTAACTAACTATACTGATTCCCATTAACTATAAACTATCTGGACAGCACACTGCTGCCAGGAAGTTCTCTCAGCAGCATTACTTCACTACACTGAATGTTCAGCAGGACAGATTGTGGCTTTGGGGAAAGCCCAGAAAATGTCACAGATAAATAAGGAATGGAGAACCTATGACCTTTAGATGAACTCCAATTCCCAACAGTCACAGCCCATATGGTAAATATTGGTAGACAGACATATATCCCAGCGTTTCAAATTACTTACCATCAACAGTAACCTTAATCTTTTCACTTACTGATTTTGTCCCTTTGCCACGGATATTAATTTTTACAATATAATTTCCTTCATCACTTCTGTGTAAAGAGTTTATCAGTAAAGATGCATTTGGAGGCGAAAGTGTAAATTTCTGCCTATATTCTAAGTCTGGAACAACCGATTGATTGACAGAAATAACCAGATATTTAGGGTTTGTTGGTGGTTTTTCAAACAGCCATATTATCTGGATGTCAGAAATAGTAAAGTTGATACTATAAGCAACCTCAAGTCTGAGTGGCTGTCCTTCAATGCCATTGACTGTGTATGAGGGAATTGTCATTTTTAATGGAGAAGAAATGCCTGCAGCAGAAAGATTATGTATATTAGAAGTGGAAAAATACACAGTACTTGCTTCAGTTCTATTGTAATATATCTTAAATTATTTCAAAACTAATCATCACTTGTTATATATCACATGTGTAAATTCATGCTATGACCATTTTGGTCCTCATCTATAATGCCATATATTTCTTTACGTGATTAAATTTTTATTCATATTGTGTTGGATATAAACATTACACACATCTCTCTGAACAGAATGGACAAAATAATAATAATTAACTGTTCAGGTTAACCATAAACAGTGAAGGAACAAACAGCCAAAAAATATTGCAGACGGGTATTCAGTAGAGAAGACATGAAGACCTTGGAAAAGATATTCAGATGCAAGACTTATATAACCATTGGTTTGAAAGTATCAATTTTAAGATAAAATTTGGAATATCTCATATAAAATGATGGAATAAATAGTTTAGTCATGGATGATTAATAACCGATAAATATATAAGCATATGTTAGTTTGACAATGTGAAAATAAATATAAACTGTGAGTAAATGACTATAAAAGGATAGCACAAAAGATTTGTAACCAACTGACACACTGTATGTATATAAAATGGAAGATGGTTTTATGTTTTTATGTTTTGTATGTGTATGTTTGTTTGTTTTTTTAAAAAAAACCAAGGCAAAAAAAAAAAAAGATATTCAAATGCCAAGATGTGTCTATACCTACACAAACCAGAGTCATGCAAGCCATGGGATTCTTTGTGACATGCCATAGAAGTGAAATAAGCAGGATAGGAATAATATTAATGCATTTGAAATGTGTGTTTGGAAAACTCTTTAAAATACTGTGGATAGCCAAGAAACTAAACTGATGGACCATTAAACAAATCAACCTGAAGTTTTCATTTGATGCACAAAAGACCCGGCTAAAATTGTTCTTCTTTGGACACATTAAGTGAAGACCTAGGTCTTTTTTAACCTCTGCTGATTACAACCATAGAATATTCATTTTTCCTTTAATATTTTCTTGCTATTATTGGTTGACTAATCCAGAGCAAACAATATTGCTTCTTGATTGATTTGAATGGCTAGGGGAGGCACAAGGGGGTATAACATGGATTCAAAAGAGCGTGCAAGAGGTAACACGGTGGTTGGGGAGAGTGCACAGAGGTACACAAGAGGTGTTGGTTGGGAATGCATGGGGATGCATGGTGTTGTGGCATATGTCAGGAAACTCTGCAGGGTGAATAATGGGTGCTATGTGAATCCAGCAGGGTATATAGAATGTGTGAATGGGTGACATGGCTCAAATTCAGAACAGCTGGAGAGGTAGGGTGGGTGGGAGAGTCTTACCTAAAGAATTTGTGACCTTCCCTGTCGGCTTTCTAATTTTAAACACTCCCTGTAAGCTTCCCATAAGCAAAAGACTTTGCTTGAAGGAAGCTGGCAGGGAATGCCAGCAACCACGATCAAGTTTATACTTCATGCCGGCTGCCTCATTTATTTGTGGGAAACTGGCCAGGAGTATTGGAAATGACAATCATGAGACCATAGTCAACTATGGTGATGTGGTAGCATGGTAGCAGTTGCCAAACATCTGAATTTTAATCAAATGACTGTGGGGATGCTTCAAAACTTGTAACTGTGAAAAAATGGTTGTAAATCACTTTAGTGCAGCTGTTGACAACCCATGGCTCCAGAGACACATGCGGCTCTTAGGGCCCTCTGCTACGGCTCCCTATCCCATCACTGGCTGGTCCCTCCCCTCTCATTCACTCCTCACCTTCCCTGAGAAAGGAAGGGTGATGGTGGCGGATGGAGATTTGCTCCATATTCCAGAGCGGGAGTGAATCGCCCCTCTTACGTGCCTCTTCTTCAGGCCATTGTTGGTGCAGCACACACCTTGATCATTCGGGGAAACACACGACTTCCTCCCCATCTGAGACACTGGCTGGCTTGGTATGGCTGACGCCACCACTCTCACTGTCTCCATGATGCGCTCGCTGCTCTTGCAGCGCCTTGTGCAGCACTTAAATTTAGCATGCTTCACAATGGGGGAGAAGGCATCCCCTCCTCTTCCTGGAGCCATTATGATGTGGACCATTGGCTGCAGCCGGTTGCGCATCTTCCTGAGCGGCTGAGCTGCGCACAGCACCGACATTCTGGTCTAATTATGCTGTAACTACCATTTGGTTTGCAGAGGTAGACCCATGTAGTGTACACTACTATACTTTAGTAGTTTATTGAACTAACTACAGGTACTCATCTTAAAATATTTCATTTAGTGACTGTTCAAGGTTACAGTGGCACTAAAACAGGGACCTGCAAACTTAAATACTCAAAAGAGCCATTTGGATCCGTTTCCCACAGAAAACACCAAGAGCCACAAAACCTGAGTGGGCATGGCCATCTCAACATCACTCCAACCCAGTCACATGACACACACCCCCAGCCATACCTAGCCAGGTTTTGTGGCTGCTGGTAATTTCTTTTCTCTTGGAAACAGGTATCTCTCTCTTTCCCTCTCATCTCTCTTTCTCTCACCCTCTCTCATCTCTTTCTCCCTCTTTCTCATATCTCTCTCTCCCTCTCATCTTTCTCCCCCTCTCTCATCTCTCTGTCTCCTTCTCTCTCATCTCTCTCTTTCTCTCATCCTCTTTCATCTTTCCCCCTCTCTCTTTGTCTTTCTCTCATCTCTCTCTCTCTCTCCCTCCTTCCTGTCAGCTGAACCCAGCAGGGCTGGTCCCACTCCTCGCCCTGCCCTCCCAGTCACTCCTCACCTGCCCTGAAAAGAGAAGGGTGATGGTGATGGATGGAGACTCGCTTGATATTCCAGAGCGGGAGCGAAGCACCCCTCTACTTGCCTCTTCTTCTGGCCATTGTTGGTGCTGCGCGTACCTTGACCACTCGGGGAGATGCGAAACTTTCTCTCCGCCCCTAGACACTGGCCAGGCCCGGCTGCAGCCGATGCTCTGCATCATAATGGGCTCCAGGAGGAGGAGGGGATGCCATCTCCCCCATTGTAAAGCACGCTAAATTTAAGTGTGCTGTGCAAGGCGCTGCGAGAATGCCATGGAGGTGGTGAGAGCAGAGGTGTCAGCCGCAGCTGGGCCAGCTAGTGTCTCGGATGGAGAGGAAGTTGCGTGTCTCCCCAAACGACTGAGGTGCACTGAGGTGCACGCAGCACCAACAATGGCCAGAAGAAGAGGCAAGCAGAGGGGCGCTTCGCTCCTGCTATGGAATATGGAGCAAATCCCAGGGCAGGCAAGGAGTGACTGGGAGGGGAGGGTGAGGGGTGGGGCCAGCCACTAGTAGATTCAGCCAACGGGAAGCCACAGCAGGCGGACAAAACAGCTTCATTTATCAGGGAACCTGAATTGATTCTTGATTTAAATAATATGGTAAAAAGCTCCCAAAGAAGAAGAAAGAACATCAGCAAAAACCCCCACAAAACTCATCTGTTTTTGGAAATATTCAAGAGGGAACACACACACACACACACACACACACACACACACACACACACACACATGAGAGAGAAGAGAGGGGGATATGAGAGGGAGGGAGGGAGAGAAAAGAGAGGGAGAGATGTGAGGGAGAGAGAGATGAGAGGGAAGGAGGAAGAGAGAGAGATGAGAGAGAAAGAGAAAGAGGGAGAGAGAGATGAGAGAGGGAGAAAGAGAGACAGAAAAAGAATGACAGAGAAAGAGAGAGAGATGAGAGAAAGAAAGATAGAGAGGGGAAAAAGAAAGATGAGAGCAAGAGCAAGATGAGAGCAAGAGAGAGATGAGAGAGAGAGAGAGAGAGAGAGAAAGACAGAGATACCTGTTTCCAAAAGAAAAGAAAATACCGGAGCCACAAAACCTGGGTAGGCATGGCTGGGTGTGTGTGTCATGTGACTGGGTTGGAGTGAGTGAGGTTGAGTTGGCCACACCCCCATCAGAATTAGATCAGAATGCAGTGGCTCAGATTTTGGCAGATGGTCACTATCAAAAGTTCATCACATCTATGCTTCTGGCTTTGAATAGGCTTTGTTTCCTATCAGTTTCTATGTGCAATTTAAATCAGAATCAGAGCTGTACCTTGGAGGTCTTCTAGTCCAGCCCCCATTCAAGCAGGAGATCCTATACCAGTAGTGGTGAACCTATAGCAAGTATACCAGAGGTGACACTCAGAGCCCGTTCTGTGGGCACGCATGCTGTTGCCCCAGCCCAGCTCCATTGCGCTTCTCACCAATGGGGAAGACGGGGTCCTTTCCACCTAGAGCCCATTACGATGCAGAGTCACAATATGACCCTGCATCATCATGGGCTCGCTTGTGCCTCCCAGATGTCAGTTGCTTTTCCTGCAGAGCTGCCCATGCTATAATGTCCCACCTCCCTGCCGATGTTCGGCTTGGTGTGCTGCTCCTGGGACTCTCACCACCCAGCACCAGTTCAGGAGTTCCTTCTCCTCTCCCTGGGGGGCGGGGGGGAGAAAGAGAGAGAGAGAGAGAGAGAGGAAGAGGGAGGGAAAGAGACAGAGGCAGAGAGATAGAGAGAAAGAAAGAGAGAGAAGGAGGGAGAGAGAGGGAAGGACACAGAGACACAGAAAGAGAGGCAGAGAGAGAGATGGAGGGGAAAAGAGAGGGAGGAAGGGAAAGGGATATTACAAACATTTTTCTTTTTTATTGTTGCTAAACATAAGCAGAAAAAAATGAAGGGGCATAAAAGTGCATTTAGCACATTTTTCTTAGAACAATTAGCTGAACTCTGCCTTGTTTATCATTATTTTAGGTAGTAAAACCTCAGTACTCAGGTTAAAATGCCATGTTGGCACTTTGTGATAAATAAATGGGTTTTGGGTTGCAGTTTGGGCACTTGGTCTCTAAAATTTCGTCATCCTATACCATTTCAAACAAGTAACTGTCCAGTCTCTTTTAACTTTAAATTTTTAACCTTAACCTGTACATGACTTGCCTTTAAGATATCTCTGGAGACTTCTTTGTTCAATTTCAAAATTTCCAATGCAGAACTCATGGAAGAATCTAGTAACAGTTCCCAACTTCCATTTAAAAAGGAGAATGGAGGCCTACATATGTTGGTTTTCCATTACAGGACAAGTATTATGATGTGTGATATTTGATCGGCACTTGACTTACTAGCTTCAGAAAAATTACTTATAACAAGAAGGCATTTGTTCTTAATACGTGGCCACCTTGTTACTTGATTTGGTGATGTTAGGATTCCTATTTAATACTTTTAACTTTTGTGATTTTTATGATTATTTCTATTGGGATAATTCAAACATATCACTGATCTTTTGATTATGGCAAATAAAAATGAAATAAACCACAATTAAATAAACCATGGCCTAGTATGATTTATGAACCCAGGCATTAGAGATGGCCCTTGACTTAGAACCATTTGTTTAGTGATTTGGAACTTGTATTTCAGAGTTATAAATTGAATACAATATTGGGAATACCTAATTTGCTAATTACTTAATACAATTATTCCCTTCCACTATATTTGCAGCAATAGTATAGTGAGACATTCAATCTCTGTGTTTTCTAGCAGAACCATTGCTTTTCAGCATATGGTAATGCCAGAACTGAAATTAATTTATCATACGGATATTATATAAAGATATGTAAAATTTTATTCTAGTATGGTTCAGTGGCTAAGACACTGAGCTTGTTGATCAGAAACGTCGATAGTTTGGTGGTTCGAATTCCTACCAACACATAACAGAGTGAACTCCTGTTACTTGTCCCAGTTTCTGCCAACTTAGCAGTTCAAAAGCATGTAAAAATGTAGAAAAATAGGGACCACTTTGGTGGGAAGGTAACAGCATTCCATGTGCCTTTGGTGTGTAGTCATGCTGGCCACATGACCATGGAGATGTCTTCAGACAGCACTGGCTCTTTGGCTTTGTAACGGAGATGAGCACTGCCCCTTAGAGCCAGAAATGACTAGCACATATGTGGGAGGGGAACCTTTATCTCACTAAACCTAAGAAAATTCTTTTCCTGTGTTCCATTTTTGCTTTGGTATACAGATTTTTCTTTTATTAAAAACAAGTTTAGGAATGGTTGATACACAGATAACAAACTCCAAATATAATTTACCAATTTGTAAGAATCTGAAACATAAAATAAGCTTCTGAAGCAAATAATGCACTTTCTTGGCTTCTGCTGTCTGCTTGTGCTTTCTTTCTTTGTATTCAGTATAAACAAATTAGATATTCCCAAAGTGACCTCCAACTTTTGCCTAGGCTGCATTTGGCTTTTACATTAGTCTTAAAGTATTAGTAAGCACAACACCACCCTTGTTGACTAGAAACATCCTTCAACGTTTTTACTGAAATAAAAAAGATGACATAATATTTTGAGCTTCATACATAAACTGACATTCAATGGGGAGGATTTTAATTTTATTTAAAGGACTTTTCACTATCAATGATAGTATCATTTTGAAATTAACTTAGTTTAATTTTTTATTGTACTATAGTAGGACATAAGGTAGTCTGTTTGATTTTTAACACTGGGATTTATGACAGCCATTTGTCCAAATCCATTTAATTGTGAAATTATTAGGCAAAGTACACCAAGGTTTAACATAATGTATAAAACCCAGTGAATAGTCCCACAATGAAGAGAATAATGATATTGGAGCCAAATGCTAATTTTAAACCCAGTTTGCATAGGAATGAAATAAAATCTGTTACAAACCTGTTACTCTAAAGTAATGTGAAAATTTTTATATCTCCTGTATGTGTAATAAACCTGGGAACAATAATGCAGAAATAGGGAACCAGCAGCCCTCCAGACATTGCTGAACTACAGTTCCTAATATCTTTCACCTTTGATCACATGGGCTATTGCTGCTGAGAGTAGCATTTTAGCAGTTTTGGGAGAGCCATAATCACCCTTCTCCTGAAATACTATTACAAAAAAATCTACTTTTTAATTTCTATTGCTAAATATTTACTATTTATGGAAAATATAAATAAATTTAAGGAATATATTCAATTACCACATATGGCACCACAATTTTTTTTTAAAAATGCACTGGTTATATTCAATGATACACAAGAATAGTTGCTGTCCTTAATGTGTACAGTGTGTGTTGATTCAACCTTCCTAAAAAATAGAATATTACATAATGTGTGAACTATAGAATAATCTCGTCTACTCTGAAGAAAGTCTTACAGTTTATTCACCAAGAATCCACACAAGCAGTTACATTAATTGCAGTTTTCATTTATACAAACCCCATGGTGGTATTTTATTCTGTGATGCAAATAATATTAACACTACCAATTTTATATCCATAAAGCTAAGTTATTTATGTATTCTCTAAAGCCTTGGATAAAGTTTCAGAAAAGGACAGAAAATCATGCAGAATCTTACCTAAAAGTTGGTAGAGCACATATATTTGCAAGCCACAAAGCATGGTGTTGAAAAGTAGCTTGTTTTGTGTGAAGGCCATCTTCTTTCAGTGCATAGACTGAACCTTGGTCCAGCAGCTGTGGAGTTTATTTGTTAGGGAAATCAGGTGTGAGTTACGAGTCACTGCCTTGTCTTGCTTCAGGTGATTTGACTATGTGTATAAACGACACAGGGAGTAGAACACCTGTTAGATTAGTATTCAACATCTTCATTGCCTATAGCCCTATCATAATTCCCCATTCTGGTATGTTCACAGCAAATACAGAACATGATAAATTGGGCATACAGTATGAATCACTCAACACTGATAAAAAATAAATGAGCTTAAAGACCATATGAAGGTTATATTAATCTGTTGAGAGCATAAAGTTAAATAGCTCCATGAAGCAAAACACAAACTTGCACAAGCTCTGAGGATTGCCAATGATGATTTTTGGTAGTTTATATTATGTCTTTTGGATTAGATGAAATTAATCCTAATACTTTTAAATAAATACGTACAAAATTGCTTTCAAGAATAGCAACATTGAGAATACTGGAAAACTGCTTTGAATTGCAAGATTCAGCAGCATGCAAATATGATAAAAATGCAGATTTTAAAAACCCTTAAAATATATATGACTAAGCAGAGCACTACAGAGAATTTTGAAGGTAATGGGCAGACCCCTTAAAAGAGAAAGGCTGCAAATTCCCACAGGTGGGCTTCAGTAATCCAGGCAATATGAAAATGGTGGCAATGTGGACTAACAATAGATTTGTAAGACTTTGTGGTTTCCATTCTAGCTATCTACCTGACCAGAATTATAAAGGGGTACCCATTGTTAACCTTAGTTTCCCAAACCCATGTGAATCAACAGAATTGAAAAAGAAATCAGGATGAAATAAACAGCAATATTATTCAGCCTGTGTTTTGCACTTAAATGGTAACCAAAATATTTATGCTATTCCTAGACTTTCTGGATTATAAACTGGCTGAATAACACAGCCTAGACTGAAATTCAGTTTGTGGTTCAGAATGTAATGAGAACAATATTAAGAGAGTTAATTTTCACTTGTGAAATTCAGATTAAAATTTGTTAAAACTTGTTTTACATAATTTAAACCATGTTTGCTTCAGCATGGTTTGTTGAATTAGCCATAATAGTTGAGTTCATTCAACACATTAAGTCAAAACTAAACTTGCATTGTGGGTTAGCAATGTAGAAAACTAATCACTTGGCTATGTCCATACAGCATGATTATCAATATTTACCTTAACTGGATTTTATTTAGCTCATTTTCATTTAATTATAAAAATAACTGCATGAGCCCACTACATATAATATATATTAATATAAGCTAAAATGAGTTTGCAAAATTGTGGCTTCAAGTGGATTATGGAAAATACAGCCCCTAGCTAGTCCCTCCCTGGTATTAACTGTACCAATATCTTAGTGACCAGTCAAGGGAGTTTAGAAAAAAGTAAAGCCCTTTATATTTTCTAATACTGGCTTACAAATATTATTAATTGTACCCAGTTATAAAGAAATAAGTAATGTTTTTTATGCTCGCTCCGCTGTGTGTAGGTTCTCCTTTCTATTCTTCCAATAATTACTTTAGGAGCTAAAAAAATAGCTTTTCATAGATTCACACTAAAGTATAAATCATGCCAATAGATAACCAAATAGCAAAAGCAAAAGTTAGACAATGCCTTTATTAGGATGAAGTTCTATATGAGACTATGCAATTTTCAATCTATTCCTGAGACCATAAGGATTTTGATGAGGAGAAACAGTTTGATTCAACCCAGCATGATAGAATTTTTGCAAGTTTTTAAAACTGACTAACTCTGAAGCAATAGCAACTTTAGCTCTAGGGTCTCTAGGTATAATTTTTACTCCTATGGAAAAATATAGAATGCACTCCAGGGGTGGTCCTTCGTTCTCAGCTGATGAAAGAGCGAGGGAGTCTTACTTTCAGCCAATCAGCGATCAACAGTAGACACTGCACCGGCAAGGCGCTGGGTGTGTCTTCATGGGGAGTCAATTATGACCTCGATACCTCATAATTATATTCCTGGCGTTGTTCCCGCGCAGGGTCCTTAGTTATCCCACAATAAACTGTTGTAATCTGCCATATATGGGATTGCCTTTGCAAACCACACTGAAACTGCAACTAGAACAAAATGCAGCAGCCTCCACCTTAACTTGATTAATGTGGGATTGCCATATAAAACCAATATTATGGGAGTTGTTTTGGTTGCCACTTTGATTTTGAGTGCAATTAGAACTTGCAAATCATTTTCTTCAGCTCATAAAGTTAACTCAGTCTTGAAGCATCGTATTCTCTTGGCATTTACACAGCGATGTTTCGGTGTTTACAAACTCATCTAGTCATATCGATGCTAGTATCCTGGATCACGCAATTATTCCATTAGAAGCAAAAATACATTTCTGGAAATAACCAAATACCGCATCCAAGCATCAGATGGTTCCTTTAAATTCGTTTTTTTAAAAAATCGCTAAAAGGAATATTTCCTCCTGAAAAATCGCTAGCTGGAAAGACAGGAAACATATTCTGCTGAGCTTTGTGGGAGTTGTATTTCTCTCAGCTGCCTGCCGGCGTTCAAAATCCGGAAGCAAAGCTCCCCTTGCAAACACTAAATCCCATGATTCAGAAGGAAAACAAGGCGGGTCATGTGATGCCCAAAATGGCTTCGGTGTGTTAGAGGCAGCTGCGTTCGATGGTCGAAGGGAGTTTGCGAAACAAGTGACCTGCCGGCAGCAATTGTGTCACCATGCAGAAAATAAAGTCTCTGATGACCCGACAGGTAGCTGGGTGGGAAGGCCGGAAAGCCTACGTTTGATAAAGCGAGTTTAAGAAGGATGTAACTGAGACAATTTCTGCAGAAGAGGGCATAGGCAGTAAGAGAGTCAGGGTGTGTGTGTTTCGCAAGGCCGGAGTTCCTATAATTAAAAGGGGGGATTTTGAACGAGACGAAAAACCACGATAATCTCTTATATTTACTTTTTTAAAAAGGCCAAATGCGTTCTGACATAGATAATATACAGTTTGGCGTGGGTTTTTTAAAAAAGGAGTTCAGTTAAATAGGACTTGCATATTTGTAAATGCGCACAGGATTTAAGCTTATAGTTTATTACTATTATTTGGGGAGGGAGGTCTGATGCCTGAATAAACGAGGTATACGAAGGTTTCCAGGGTTGTCACGTAATTTATTTCACTGATTATTTATTCAGCGTAAGGACTCCAGATTCATTGTAGCATGTGCACAATCATGCCTACCGTCCCTGTCCTATTATCCCCATTTATTCGTATCTATTTCCTGTATTCTTACTCATGTTTATACTTATACCCTTTTATCTTGTGATTGACAAATCAAATTAATAAATAGATTGAATTGTGGCTGTTCAGGTTGAGCTTGTTTTCCCAGTTTAAATTCTCTGTGAGGAAATGATTTCAGAATGTAATGATCAGTTAAACTTGGAACCTTTTCTCATACTATTTGATAACAAAAGGTATTTAAATAGATAGATGGACGCTAGGAGCAATTGATAAATGCAAAGGTTGTAGATTTGAGGGTAACATCACAAGGGTGGCAGTTGGGATTACTAATTTAATACATGAGTCATCAGGACTCTTGGTCAAAAATGGGCCAGATAAAATTTGAGAGACTTAATACAATATATTCTGCTTTTTTGATGAGAACAATTGAAAAAAAAAAGAACAATATTTCAAAATTGTGATTTGATCATAAATCTCATATTTAGTGTTTTTAAGAAAATAATATTGGACATTTTGTTTCAAAGCTCACTTCATTTTTCTGTGCTATTCAACGAGCATTTTTGCAATTTTTCTCTGATATAAGTCTTAAGATTGAGCAAATAAAGAGTTTTTCAGAATGTTTGGGTTATAACATCCATTAGTTCCATTCCATAGATTGTAGTAAAGTATTATCCTGAGAAGAAGTCCATCCTTATATTATATAGGTTCTTTTGTTGTACAGGTTTTTCAGCTATTTGTAGCTGGAAAGCCTTGTTCATGAGAATAGCTCGAGTTTGCCAAGGTTTGCTTTTCAAATATATGTGCTGTCTGAAGCACTAGTTGAAGCACTCATGTATTCCTTAATCTGTTGTTTAATTATTGTGACTGCAGAAAGTGACATATTTGTTTTCCCCCCCATTAAGGGTCTTAAAAGTCCTCAGGAGAGTATTCATGATTTGAGCCCCCCTGAGAACTTCAGAATTCCAAGCAAGGTAGGACTGAATATGTATGTTAAAAAAAATTTCAATTTCTGTTTTAAATTTGTTTTCTGTAGCATCTATTTGTATTCCATACAGCTGCTGTGGCAGGGCAAAGAAGTCAGCATCCTTATCAAATTGGGTTAATGACATTAGCGTCAGGACAGATGAGATCTTTAGCAATATGTCAGCCTTGTCCTTTCTATTCTGCAATAGTACTGGATAGGATGTGAATTTTGTGGTAGTCACTTTCCTGTTCTAATAATTGGATGTATCTCTGCTTGTTTGTTATTGTTTAATATTTTCTGTTAGGATTCTATGGCAGCTTTAATTTATAAAAGTACTTCAGGCAATTCCCATATGTGTTATGAATCTTATTGCTATTTGGCATCACATAATTTAATTACATTTTACAAAACATACACATAAAACAATATAGAGTAATATAGAAAATCAAGAGAAAAGATAAGGGTAAAAAAAATACAAAAAGAAACATTTATATTTGACTCTTAGTTTAATAGTGTGATAAAATGTCCATTTTCCCCAAAAGAAGGGGTAAGAAAGAAATTTTTTTTCATTTTAAATTTTAACATTCATCAAAGCCTTATGTCAAAATAAGATTTTTTTTAATCTCCTGAAAAATGTCCACAAAACACTTTCAATTATAGATGAATTTATTCAGTGATTTTTCTCTCATAAAGGACATTAAGTTAGGCCTTGTTGCCAGTGTCATCTTTATTAACCATTCTTCTTTTGTGGGTATCATAGAATCTTTCCAATGCTGAGCATATAGATGTCATGC